GAATGACAACAATAGAAAAAAGCCAAATACGTTAATAACAGGTGCAAATTTAAGATTCATTTTGCTAAGATTAGATATTCAGATAACAGTACGTATGAGTATTTCGGAAAACTAAGAAAACAAAACATTTTATTTGAAAAGCTTAGTATATGATTTGATATCATCTTTGCGTGCTGAGAAAAAAAATTTCTCAACATTGAAACTTTTACGTTCTCTGTTAGGTTATTATCTAAATGAAAGATACGCTAACATAACTTTCATAAGTGGAGAAAATTACAAAAGCTTTAATACAAGGTCTTAACTCAATATCTCTGGGGTCAAAGTAAAAATCTTTAACATCATTTACTATTGAAATGCCTTCAAATACACCTAAAAATGGAATTAAATTCATTAATAGTTGAACCAGCACTTTATATCTTATTAGCGAAAAGTAGCTTAGTAAGGACTGTGTCAAGTGGGGGATGTACTAGAAAATATTTTTTCTAGTACATTCAGCGTTCTTACAGTGTATTATCTGTAGATTAAATGGTCAAGAGGGGAGTAAGCAATTTTCTTTTTTAAAAAGCACATAAATTTTTTTTACTGTATAGGCAAAAATGCAGTCTTTTTAACAAATAGATGCAAAGTAATAAAACTCACCATTGGCTTCAGTGCAGTTTTGGAACAGCTAAGTATAGTATCTATTATAGTCATACGAGTATATGCAAGTCTATGAAACTTATTGCATTAAGTTATTTCAATACTTTGTTGAGCTTTGTTCTACTAAATAAAAGCTGCATAAAATATAGCACATTTGATCATTGTACAGTAAAGCCAAGAGATAATCTCTTCATTTTTCCCCCAAGTTCTAAAATAGAAACTCCAAGTCTGTAGAATCAAATGTCCTATCAACCACGTTTTTTTAGTGCATGAAACAGCTGAAAGTTTATCTAGACATTCGTCTTCTTCAGACCACTTCGCAGACGTATTCCTATTGACACAAACCTAATTCGTTCCTTCTGCTCGTATTTTCTGAAAACACATACGTAAGTTTTATTACCCTGGGATTGACAAAGTATATGGAAATGCATCGATATTCAAAACGCATTCGTGAATGCAAGGTGGCTTTCTGCTCTATTATAGTGAAGTGATGTGAATAAATACGATAAAGAAAGGAATATATATTGCTCGCTTCTATCGTTCATATATAAATACGTAGTCAACTATATATAATTAAGTCAAATTGTTATAAATGTTACTTTTTAGGAATGCTAAATATAAAAAAAAATTAAAAATAAAAATATAGTAAAAATAGCATATTTAAAAGTTAGACGGATTCAAATAGCAAAGAAAAGACAAGAACAAAAATTTATTTAATTAAAACTTAGATGACCTTACAAAAGTGTTTCAAATATTGCCACGTACTCATCATTAGTGTACTCATCATTAGGAAATATTCGAATTTCTTTTTAATTAGTTTTTAGTCCGTATATAATAGTATACTTTAGTTATATTTACTGCTGGGTGTTTTGTTAATGAGTAACCGCTAAATTATTTTAAAGGTATTCAAACATAGTTCATGTCTAAAAATTCTTCTTATCTCTTTGCTGGGTAAAGAACCGCATAAGAATCTCATAATGCAATTCACATACACAAATTTATCTTAACATTTCGGTAGCTTTTAATATCATACTCGTATGACTCGTACTCGTAGTCATATGTTTCGTTAGCATAATGTCAACATTATTGATGTATTACACAAACTTGCCAAATCATTAGCTTTTCATATTCGAAAAAATATAAAAATAAAACACATAGATATGCAAATATTTTAAGTAAATATTTTTGCTACAATTTTAACGATTTTATCTGGTGTGTCTTTTCTCGTGAACTTGCAAAACGCTCTGTAAAACGCTCTGCAAAACTTTTTGCGAAACGCTTGCGAATTCTTACTGCAGTGTTTATACATATTTTAAATCAATAAACGAAATTTTGTTGAGTCGCCAGATACAACATTTGAAACGTTTAATGTTTAATGTTTCATGTTTAATTCCTAAACATTATCTCTCCATCCGTATTAAGTAATATTGCATTTATACAAACACTATAAAGTTGTTTGACCCAGTTTTATGTACATCAAATACAATACTCGTATATAAGGAGTTGGCCATTTTGAGATCATGGCCAGCTCTCAACAGCAGCGTGGAAAATTACTGAACTTTGAAAGTAATTGATTTTCTTCGAACGTTTATGGAAAATTTTGCGCCATGTAATGTGGCTGTAAACAAGTGACATAGACTACATTTAGTACATACTAATGACGAAACTGGCCAACAGTTGGGTTGCTTGAACTGCATATCAATTTAAAACTACTACAAAACAGTGATATGTGTATAAAAAAAGTAATGCTTATTTATTGAAATATATAGACGTTTCTTTCAAAGAAATATTTTCATTCATAATATCCAGAAGCATAATACTTTGACCATAGAACTGAAGCACCGTACTACAAGCTTTTAATTACTTGCTATAGAATCATGTTAACATGATTTGAAGAAATATGGGTAATTACGTTCTAATAAATATATTCTCTATTACCTTCTCTGCCTTCAAATTTAAATTTTTGTTCCAGATTTTCAGATAGCTGAGTTAGTTTTGTCCATTTCCGAAATCGTACCGCTTACTGTATAAATGGACTGATTGAAAGATTGCATACTTATTTAATATTTCATTAGCACAAATGGCCAGATAATCTGTCCTATTTTTTTAGATACTGTATTTTTTTATTTCATACTCGTACTATATACAGATATTTCTAATTTTTTCTAATTTTTATTTACTGTGTTCTTACCACGATAACCCAAGTAAGAGTGCTCGAGCACCCTTTTGTGGATTTGAGAGCTACAAAAGCCAAACGGGACTTTTCCAGAAAAACAAATCGATGTCCCGTTTGGCAGCAATCGTACGTTCGAATAATATCGAATGATTCTGCTATTAATAAAACCAAGCGCAGGGGCCGGATTCAAGAGGCCCCGGGTGTTATCTCATATGTATAATTGTGTATATATATATATATATATTTGCCATATGTTTCAGTAAGTTATGATAATTTGTAATAGCAATATCTGTCTTTCAATCAGTGTACATATACATAAATTCCTTCCGGAAAATGGATAAAGTCAATTAAGTATATAATATGCAGCATTTCAAATATCTGTCATAAATTAGTTTCTTGTATTTACTTATATACCATAAATACTACGTTAAAAATTTATAAATATTTTTTAAATAAAATTTCATAACAAAACTAAAAAATGTTCTATTATTTATATATTTCGTTCTTTTTTACATATCTTCTTACATGTCTTCTTACTTCCTCCACTTTCGGATTTGAGCACAACGGATTTTATTTACCTGATTTAATTTTTGTAAATAAGTAAGACATAAATGAAAGAAATAACCTATGTTAAATAACAATGTTAAATATTAACAAAGTCAATACCTCTCAAGCATTACGAGTCATTTATTGGATTAAACTCCAAACTGGATGACAACAGCACTCGATAAAGAAGACTAGATGCATATGATTGAAGACGCTAAAAACAAGCTGTTATATATAGGAAGAAAAAAAATATATATAGGAAAAACTCAGGGTTTAAAACCACCTAAAACCTTTGGCGAAGCTTTAAATATTATTTAGTGTCAGGTCCTGTAATTGCTCAAGAAAGGAGGCTCATTAAGTCGCAGCCGTACATGAGTTGAACAAAAACATAGTAGATGAGAGGAACTCCTATCGTTTTCCCCACAGCTGCGACAATTTGATTGAAGATATAGGTCTTCCTTCGTCCATCCATAGCATGGTTTCCTATTTTTCTGTGACCTGTAAGTAAATCTACCAAAAGACTAATATCATCTATACGGGGTATCTCAATGAGAATTTTGAATTTCCTTTTATATTAATGTGGCCATATTGCATACAGATGCCTGCATATCATTGAGTCGTCCCATCTTTTATTAAAAATTTCAGTACAGAAAGAACTCAGTAACAATTTGCATGATGTTAGCGATATGCCGAGATTATTTGAATGTTCCGAATGCTGCAATTTGAGTTCTGCAATTGCCGAAAATATCCCTATGACCGAGAACCCAGATTAGAGGAATATTGTGCTGTGTAGACATTTTGTTTAGAGATGTGTAGAATTAAAAATCGTCGTAGATGTAAATTGGACTGAACTCAAGAACTTTAAAGCAACTTGACTATCTGATGATATGTATATATTCCTGTCATATATATTATCCACATTTAAACAAGCTATAGCTTCCCTAATGGCGATCACTTCTGCCTAAAAGACACTACAATGATCTGGAAGCCTAAAGTAGGAAGATTTACTCAATTCCTCTAAGAAAACTCCACTGCCTACACCACTATTTGTTTTGGTTAAGCCCTCACCTAAGGAGGGACCACCTGACGTCCATCAATCTCTAGATAAATCTCACTCCAACGAACATAGAATATGTTTCACACAATAAAAATATAAATAAAAACTTGAAAATTAAGAAACTCTATAACTTTACGTCATAATATATTATATGGTATCACGCCAATTTAAATAATTGTATCTTATTATTAATTATGAACTTTAAAAACACAAAATTCAAAATTCGCCATATATACAGCACAAAATATAAATAAAAAAAATCACTAAAATTGCTAGCTTTTGTGTTTCTTCTTCTCTTTCCTCTTATTACATTTGATACAATTTAATATAATTAATTTTAAGCAAAAATTACATTGAAATGCTGTGATCTCTGAACGATAGCTGAACGATCTTTCTCACATTTTGATTCAATTCGACTCATTCAATTCTAGCTAAAGCATAGCACAGCACAGTACAGCATAGCACAGCACAGCACAGCACAGTGTAGCTTTCAACTAGCTTTCAACTGCACACTCACACCAGTGCAGAAAATCACAATATCAGAATATCAGAAAATCAGAAATCAGAAATCAGAGTATCTACGAGCACTGACAGCGTTTTGATTCTTTAGCAGTGAGTTTTGTGCGGTTTGCGTTTTAATGCTTAAAACTAAGCGAGTTCATGGCGTTTGGATTTAGTCGTTAACGCGCGGCCAACACGATCAGTTCAAACGGTTTTAAGCTAAAGGCAGAAGAATCCGGAAGACCCTTACAAGTCGACAGACCATACAACAGACAACAGCGACAGACTCACCAATTCAACGCACGATTGTTGAAATTTGTGCAAAATTTTTGATTACTCAGAAGAAGAAATATTCAAAGAAAGAATACCTAGCATTGCCAAAAAAGTGTCTGAAGTGAAAAAATAAAAATATTTCAAACATTACAGTGTGTATATTTGTATCTGAGAAAGTGTATCTGTAATTATTTTTCATAAATTTCTGTTCGCACATAACGTTTTTCTTTGTGTTAGCAAAACGTTGAACACAAATCGCTCGTCGTTAAGAAATAAACAAAATTAATTATAAACAAAAGTTAATAACAATTTTTGTTTTGAACTTCAGTTCGTGCTCAGCAGTGTTTTAAGTCGAGTGGCTTCAACTGAATCGGATATAATCAGTTCAAAACGGATAAACTTGATTTGGCAAAATTTTGCAACCGCTTTTAACTGGTATGAAATTGCATTTAAGGAAAAAAATTATAACAATAAAAATTTTGAAATTAATTTTTTTTTCAATGTTGAAAGGCTTGAAAGGCTTGAAAGTTGAATTTTTGTGAATCTGTGTGAATCTTTGAAGCAGATTTCTGCGCCGGAAACGGATGTATACACTCACATACATAAATGCCAAATACTGATACTTATTTGACTAGACAGAACAGAAAAACACAAAAATTTATTTTTATTTGAAATAGACAAGCATAAAAGATTTAGTTAATTGAAATATATTTATATCTGAATTAGTTCAACAGAAAAAAAATGTTCAAAAAAATTTGCATTGCGAGTGAACGATACGTTCTAAAATGTTTGAGGCAATAATAAATAACGAACCAAAGCGGATTGCGCTTGTTTTGAGCTTGTAACTGGCACTGCAATGCCTTTGCCACAAAAACAATTGTTCAACTTCACAAAGAAAAATAAATTTAGTCATTGCAAATAAATGGACAAAACATCAGAAAAATGTAACACTCATTTATACTTAGAAACCAGCGATATTATGTAGCATAACCCATCTACTACTGCGAAGCAAAAAGGAACCAATTGTTACCTGTTTTCCAATTTCCAATTTCAATTTTAAACCTTTTTAACCAAATGCTTTGAAGTAAATGTTTTCTAGTAACTTGGCTAGAGTCCATTAAGAGAAAAGTATCTGACGCATTTCACTGCAGTTGGCAATAGTTCAGCTACAAAAACAATAAAGAAAATGTGCACGCGTTTCTCGTCATACCCACATAGAAAGAACCTCATCCAGATGCATACTAATTGGTTCTCGAAGCAAATATTTTAGTTCACGTTCGATAAAATAAGTAGTTCAAAGTTAATTACTTTCAAGCAGCAACAAAAATAAAAACATTCAGTGACTTATAATTTTTAATTTTCTGGTTTTCTGATTTGATTCAAAATAATTTATAAATATTTGAAACAATCAACTGCAATAAATTTATAGCATCAGAGTTATATAGTATAGACATAGTACTTTGTTCTATTGGTAGACTAATTCTCTATAGTTCTCTATTGTGTTACTATAATTGAATGCATTAATAGACATCTGCAGCAATATAACTATAACAGAGAAGAAATCTTATATTTTCCTACCCGACAAGTGATATAATACAATGTCAAAGACGTAGTACTTTGTTCTATTGACAGCCTAATTCTCTGTAGTTCTCTATTATGTTACTATACTTAAATGCCTTAATAGACATCTGCACTAATATAACTATAACAGGGAAGAAATCTTATATTTTCCTACCCAAAAAATGAAAAGATTTCTAATTACATTTTGTATAATTTATTGATCTTGCTCTCGGCAAAGAGAGCAAAACTTTGACAGGAGTTTAACACTTTCATTAGTAAGCAATCTTCCAAAAAATGATATTCAGGTGCTCGATAGACTGTCAAAATTCATTTTTTTCGAAGAAACTTCTGTCGATATTCTATTCTATAATTAATTTTCTCTATTTTCTTTACTTTTACTACAAGTTTTTACAATATAATATGTTTTGTTCTTCCAAACTATTTGTTGGAAATGATAACGAAGTATAAACATTAATTTATTTTAAATATAAACTGATATAAATATAATATAATTTATGTTGAGTCTAATGGAGTCAGTACACTTGAGGACTTTTACTCTCTATTAACTGCGAGGTTTCTACATAGCCCCTCTCTACGCCTTGGCTAGATTATTGTTTATCACTTCATCAGAACAAGCAATAATTGACCTCAGATCTGCATATCTCCCCGAGGAGCCTGTAACCATTCTGAGAATCGATAACGCGGTGTTGGTAAGCCTGTCAGTTTTCATAAATAATTAAAGGACTCTATCTTTCTGGAGGTCCCTGACATTCATCTTAATGTACCATAGCACCTTAAAAAGACTTCTCAGAGCTTGGCTTTGTGCAATTTCTAGCTAGCGAATAGTATATAGAAGTGACAGTCGAATTAATTGGTTACATTATAGCTTCCTATTCTTAGATTGGAATTTTTATTTTTGAATAGCGATTGGAGGTGAATAAAAATAAACTGCTGATCAAATATAAAGTCTACATTCCGTATCAAGCTTAATTATCAAAAAGATACAAATCAAATCGAAAAGATGATACTGAATGTTAATACATGCTTCAGGGGTTGGTATTAGTTTAGGTTACGTTATTGCAGTGGTTCTAGAGATTCTTAGATTCTAACAGAATTTGAAACCATTTCAAATCGTTAATGAAGATCCACACACTGCAAATTCAATGCTTTGTATTCAGGACAAAGTAATCACAGTATGAGGACTATGAGTTAGTTTCCAGTGTTTTCTCAAGAGTATGAAAATTTCGGATAAGAGGTGATCGGAAAATACTATTTTATAGAAAACGAAAAGTACAAATAAATATAAAATAATAAAATAAATATATGAATAATTAAGAGAGGACTTCGTTTTAAGTTTTAATAATGTCACAATTATTTATTTAAAACATTTTTTGAAACATTTTAGGTATAGTATTTCATTTTAGTATTTCAATGAAACTTTAGATTTCAGCTTTATTCATTAAAAAAGATAACTGCATTTTTGCACACAATTATAGTTTTAGAACAAAAAAACATACTTTCACATTGTGCCATTAATTCAAAACGTGTTAAAACGTGCAAAAATATTTATAACATTTCTAGCAGGTGACTGAAACTTACCAGATAAAATGACATTATGTTTACCCGAAGTTTGAAGGGGGCTTTAATCAATTCATTTTTATTTTAAAAATAATGAAAAAAATATAAATTTAAATTTTAATATACATTTTTAAACATTTTTAACATTACAAAACTCATAAGTCTTCAAGATTAGAACCCATATTCATAGTACCCTACATCTGTCCTACATATATTTCTTACAACTTCAGTTTTCAAGATTCGCCTGTCTGGTTATATATACTCTAAGGATATAGTGATATGTTTGCTTATGGTAATAAGCTTTATAGTTCTGTACTTTAGTTTAGTTTAAATGATATAATCACTTAGTATATTATTTTCTCTACAATATTAACATAATTATAATTACGCCCTGCAAAATGTCTTTCTATTCTAAAACTGTGTGAACTACCCAATTACAGTATAAGTAAAGATTTCAATTTCCACAATTCAGACACATCATCTAACATATATCAAAAAATTATCACTTTTTGATTTCTTCAATTATAAATAAAGAATAATTAAGTACCAATAATCCCCAAGAGATAATACTTGTTTATACAGGTAGCTGATTTCTGAATAACTAAAAATTATGCACAACAGCTTAATCTCTTCAAATTACGTTATTTATAAAAAAAGGTTGATATATTTGTGAAAATCGATTGCGTATTAAGCAACTATGCTAAACTTTTTAAAAGTAATTAACTCAATAATTAAGCAAATTTAAGTTTTTGTAAAATGTCAGAGTTGCCAGCTTCAAAATGTAGTGCTGAGTTTTATTCAAGCGTTGAATGATTACGTTACAGATCAATGATTATTCAATTTAATAATATATTTGGAATGTATTTGAATTACAAAAGTGATAGCACGAAAACAAAATATCAGGAATGGGCTTATTATTACATAGTAATATGTAGGAATGGGTACTATTTAAATATATTATAAGTTACTATATTCTTCTCAAGTTCTGATATATTAGGTTTGTTCCACGAGTTACTCGTAGTAAAACTCCAGTAAACGACAAGTAAAATTTATACGGAAATTTGTTGGTGGAGCGCACTTGTGTATACACAGTGTTACTCAAAGTTACAGCCCTATTATCTCAATGATGGCAGTAGTACTCGCACAGAAGTACTTATTGCAAATAAATTGAAACCGTAATCGTAGTTTAGGGGGTATCAGACGGTTTGATGGAGTATAGCGAAGATTAGGTCATGTATGTAGGAATCAGAAAATATTGTGCAGCTAAAACAAATGGGTTGTAATATTGAGACTTATTTTTGTTTTTAAAAATTAGAATAATAGATATTGAACAAAACTTTTAGGATATATAAATTGGTTTATGGGTATGATGTTTTCTATTTGTTCTTCTGATTTCATATGAAGCAATTGGTTCTTCTTTCTCGTTCCAGACACGCTTATGTTTTTAACAACATACTTATGTGTATCCCATGTACCATTTATAAAGCATATATAAACAGAAGACTTGATTTATGGTTAGCCTCTAATTTTATGAAAGTAGATTCAATAAGTAAATCATGAGTAAACAACAAAATTAAATCAGGAAAGTCATTTTTGACATTACTCTTCGTTATTCTTAGTTAAAGCAATATGATGTATGTCAGAGTATCTTTCCCAGCATTTTCCCAATATCAATGATCTTGTCAATTGTCTTGATTTTATAATATCGATGTTCTAAGGGGGTTCTAAATACCTCTACTACTCCACGTAGACATCCTCTTACTCTAAAGCTATCTTGTTTATCTTCAAAAATCCGCTTGCATATGATGCTGTTAACCAACTTTTAAATGGCGTCACCAAGGCATTTTATATGTATTGTTTTGTTAAAGCAATGAATTGCCTTTCCAAAACTATTAATAACTTTTTTATTGCCAAATACTGGATCATCCAATTTAATAGACAAAAATTAAGTTAATTTGTAAAACATATAACCATGGAAATCAATTCTTCACCATTTATTAAAAGATCTAATGAATTTTAATATAAGTAGCAAAAATTAATTTGTGAACTAATACAAAATATTCCATATTAATTTATTTTTAATTTTAAAAATCCACTAAATGTATTCGGCTTTTTCCTATGCTAATTAATTAATTTATGTGAAATTGTTAGTCTTAATTCTTAAATTAGTGTTGTTTGTTTTAGAACGTAAAATAATTAGCATTTATTTTTTGTGGCATTTTGTTTTGTTCAAATTTTATTTCACCAAAAAAGATATTAATTAAAAGATACTCTAAGTATCTTATTATAATTATAAT